AATTATTATTATTATTGTTATAATTATTAGTGTTATTATAAGTTATTTATTCCAAAGAAAAAAATATTTGGACTAAAGTGAAATAACCATTAGCAACTAAAACTATCGGGTCCAAAAAAAAAGATAGATGATTATTCTAGTCGTTTTAGTAAAGTTAACTTTTTTTTGTCCGCCTAAGTAGCCGAAGGCAAAGAACTTGGTCTAGCAACGCAAGGGTCCTAGGTTCGAAACTCAAGTGTGTTAGTGTTTTTAATAAAGCCGATAGCTTCCGACGTTAGTGATTTTAAAGTTTTAGTCTTAGATTTTATTCCTCTGGCTAAATTATTAATAATAATAAATATTTTTTTATGAAAAGTATGTTTCACGAGTACTTTCAAGGTATCAAGTTTTTCTAGCATAAAAAAATGTGACGATCTAAAGACTCAAAATATAAGCATATCTTTTGTTTTTAACAAACTGACTGATAACTTCGTCACTCCAATAATGCAACAACCATCATCTTCTAAATATTTTCAGACAAAACCAATTTAACGTCATTTTATAAATACCGTCCCTGAGAGAGCTTCGTTTCAGTTCCGTCTTGTGAAACTGCGATTAGAATTTTCAGAGAGGTATTTGATTGAAAACTTGCAAAACAGGGAGATCGCAGATCGTTGCACTAAACAGAAAGTAGGATTGTTGATCATATGGATAAAGTCCGACTCTTTTGTGTAACGGAATAATATATTCTTGTAGTGAAAAAGTCAGATTGCCTAAGGTTGTCTCATATCTTCTTTGCGGGAGACCCAAATTAAGAATAACACAAAGAAATGGTAGTCACCTCTCCCTTTCCGAAGAATGAATTTGAAATGTTTCTAATGGTATAATAAACTTAATGTATCTGCCTCAGTGAATATATTAAATAATGTAAATACATAAAGTGAATACATTAATTAATACATTAATACATTAATTAATTTATCCTCAAAAAAAAAAAAATAAATAAACATAACTTTCTCTATGCGACATTGCATTATCAAACATGCAATTTCCTCTTTTTAAATCGAGCTGACGTGTAAACGACTACACGTAATATGGGTCAACTGAAATTAAAAATAGAATATCTCTGACAATTACATTACAAAACCCAATTACCACCCAACTGTAAATCTTCCATATATGATAATATACCAGACTATTTATTTTATGTGTTCTGCACACGTATAGGTACATTACACAAATGCATGGTCACAGAGTGTACGAAACATATAAGAAGATTGAATGAATGAATGAATATGCTTGACAAACGGTAAAATAGATTAAAGAAATCTTTTCCTTTTTTGCTTTGACTTCTATTTCGACTGTGCCGTGACGGACGATGTGTATGCGATATAATAAACCGCATGCTATATAGCTAAAGTAATTAAAGTCGTTCGTGATAAAGGTGGCAAAACTATTTCTGCATATAGAAAGCATTTCATAATATATCGAAGCGCGTAGTTTTGCAGTCATTGTTATGTACGAAGCTTTCATTACTCAAAAAGATCAAAAAAAAAAGGAAAAAGAATACATCTTTTTAAAATCATATTCATATTTTACAGATAATGATGTTGAATCAGTGTTGGCAGAATCTCAGGCAATTGTTACACATGCATCACAGCAACAGCAACGACAGCAGCACATGTTAGAATCCCAATCTTCCGTAACTAGTACAACTTCTATACAGACTGTATTACAGCAATCTGTTATACTACAGCAAAACGCTTCAACACCAAAACATGCTAATAGCACGACTAATCTAAATGGACTCTCATTAACGCAACAACAACAACAGCATCAACAGCAAACTGTTATTAACAGTAATTCAAATAGTTTAAATAATTCACAAATCATTACCTATGCTATCGAAGCTCTACCAGGTTTACGACATCCTTCGGATAGCGTAAATTCTTTATTGGAACATATAGCACCCGCCAATATGAGCAGCGAGGGAGTACTAAATATTGCCGATGTAGCCGATCTCTTGCATCCACAACATGCAATAATAACTGGTAACGAAGAACTAAACTAATTGATTATTAATTCTGAATATATTAAATAATGTTTTCTTATTAAACTTAAGGTGGACGCTCTCAGGAAGGTTGTCCCTTAATTATATTCCCTGATAATAACAATTTCGCGACACTGGAAGAAGTTGATTACCAAAAATTAATTTTATATTTGACTTCAGTACCATCGTAAGTTACATAAGCTTAAAATTTTTATTTAAAAATATTATTTAACGGTTCATTTCAGTTTACAAGATGCCGATTTGGGTTTTCATTTGATTATCGATCGCCGAAAAGATAAATGGACTTCGGTTAAAACAGTTCTGCAACGTATATCGGTAAATAGCCAGGATTTTATTAACCGATTTATCTTATAAATATTTTTTGAGCTTTAATTTGATTTAAAGAGAATGGTCAAATTTCACGAATATAGCAAATATTTTCATACCCATCATCAGGGCTAGATTAGACAAGTTTTTAAGTCTTTGCTAATCAAGGAATTGATGTGTTTGATATGTATTGCAATTAGAACGACGATCTTAAAATTCTATGCGGATTTTTAACATACATCATTAACTTGCTAACTTCCTCACAAGGTAGCTCAGAGTCGTCCCAAAATATTTATATTCTTGATCAGCATCAAATTCTAAATCGATTTAAGCATGTTCGTCTGTGTAATGTCTATGGGTGATGCAGTAGTACCTGTACGAAAATTGAAAAAATTGACCACGCTATTGAATGACAGATATTTTATCATGGTCGCGGAACATATTTATGGTCTCGGAATATTTTTTAATATGGGATATTTTATTATAGTCGCGAGATATTTTATCACGGTAGCGAGATATTTTTTAACATGGTCTCGGGATATTTTTATGGTCTCGGGATATTTTATCATGGTCACGGGATATTTTATCACGATCGTGGGATGTTTGCATTTATTGAAAGCAACTCTGTGCTCTCTCCATTGTAAAAAAAACGGTATGTTTTTATAAATCTTGCAAAGGGAAAAACCTGATAACGGCTTTTAGCAATTTTAGTGAAAATTCAACTCAATGCAATTCAATTAGTTTCAACAAAGCCATTTCACAAGTACACAAAGAAGTTATAAGAGACGGATAATTGCGAAGAAATTTGTGAAACATTGAATATTATAGTCTACCAACATGTAATTTTTTTTACAATACCTTTATAACGCGCAGGAACAAGGTTCAAAAACTCCGTACATTATGTAAATTCTTGGCCAATTTCAAATTTGAAATGCATCTAAACATGTCAATCCGTTCATTTGTGTCTGTCTGTTTGCGCAACTTTGTAGTATTTGTGGTAAACATGCTCCCGCTAGCGAAAATAAAGATACCACCCACAAATTTGCAAAGGAATTTGGAAGTGACTCAAAGTTTTCGAAGAATACGCCTAGAAAGTTCATACGTCTATCTGACAAAAACTTCATTTTAAAAATAGAAAAAATTAGCCGCGTCCACTATATTTTGTAGAGTATGAAAATTTAGTTTTTTTACTTTTTTTTCTTTTTTAGGATAATGGGGATCAGTATGAATTATTCGGTCACGATCAAACATAATTTTTTTACTTGTTTTTTTTTAAATCTCTTTATTATTCCAAATTCATTTCGTCGCCTTCAACGTTATCTTCAATATTGCTTGTTAAGAATTTGGCCGGGCACAAGAAGTATATAATTTGTTCATATTCTCCCGTTGTGATCGATCGCTGATCGTAAAAGAAAACTATGCATATTCTTGTTATAATTGTTTTGATTTACTGTCAGTTTTGACCTTTAAACCAATCGTTCGCTGTCGATTTTCGGTCAAAAACTCGGTTATTATTTTTACTTTCTCAATGTATATCAAAGATGTGGTATATAAATGTACAGAACGGTGTATGCCGGCATAGTTGTGAAAATCGAAAGTATACGTTTGTACCGTACGATTGCCTTTAGCACTAAGTTATTGATAAAGCTGGTGGCTACCACTTTAAAGGGTAAATGGCCAATTTCATGGCGGATTATCTTCTTGCCGTTTAGCCACTAAAATTAAAGATAATAAAATTATTCTGGCAAAGTCCTTGTTTCCTTATTATATTATACTGTTCTTTAACTCACCACTATCGCCGAATAGCGCACACTTCTAAATCTAAGTCATACTCGTTTGTCCACAGTCCAATTTCGGCTGACAAGAAACTTACGTTCATACCAAACAGTGCCTATGTGATCCCACTTTTTTTGGTTTCAATAGAACTTTTTCGGTTTATTTCTTATAAAAATACAAATTTTTCTCGTGTCACTATAACTTCTTCGGTTTATTAATAATAGAAAAAACTTGTGATGAGAATGAGAGCGGTTTACCGTTTTAAATTGAATTGAATTATACGTCCCCGAAGACTTGAGTTTTATGCGAACATCTTTGTCTCAAAAAGTGAAAATGTCAACCGTACCTACGGTCACCAAAATGCCTTTTATGTTCGGATAAGATCGGAATATTCTTGAGCCCCGTGCAGCACCTCATTTTAATACTCTCCGACAAAGTTCTTCGAATATATCGTTTTATTGTACCACATAAAAGAAGAACATTGCTAGCCTAAAATCTATTGTCTACAGACTAACAAGTCAAGTTGCTCCTTTAATTACTCCCATACTTCCAAATTCGGAGTAGCTTTACAATCTAACAAGTGGTTTTCAGACTAGTTCATTTAATACTCTCAGATGATTGTGAATCGAGGTGGATAAAAATCACAATTAATGAGAGAATTTCGTTATTTTGAGAGAGCAGAGAAGTACAATAAAAGCTCCTTCCTTATTCGCGGGAAATACGTTCCATAAAAATGCCGCGAATACAGAAACCGTGAATACGGAATGGTAATTTATATGCGATTGTAGGGGATACGTTCCTAGGTGACATAAATAAAAAAAGAAACCGTGAATACGGAATTGTAATTTATATGGGATTATAGGGGATACGTTCCTAGGTGACAAAAAAAAAAATCAATTATATAAAAAAATCAATTTAATTGAAGTTTTTGAACATTTTGATTAATTATCTTAAGGCTTAGACAATGGCTTGACGAATTATGTAAGTTTCTCTTGCTTGGCAGTTTTTAAAAGCTCCTTTAATTCAGACTGATACGCAGCAGACGCATTAGCAATTTGCCTCTTAACAGTAAGACTTCGTTCCATAGATGGATCAATGTTCATAAAGAAGAAGAATCGCCAAGCTCATTTGCCATTCTTAAACCTTCACTAAGACTTTTCAAATTAAATGTCACGTTTCCAGTTCTTGTTGAAGCCTTTTCTTCAATGGGCGGTGAATTTAACATTTCCTCCAAGTCGGTTTCGGTCAAATCTTCATCTTGCGATTCAAGCAATTCCTGAATGTCACTTGATTCTATCTCTTCGAACCCATCTCGTCCTATTCCATTCGCGATTTCGGCTATGTTTGCAGTCAAAGTTTGAATTTTCATAGATTCTTCGTCATTTTCCGCAGTCAGAGCAGACCACAGTTTTTTCCAGCATGACTTCAATGTGTGTGGCTTCAGTTCTTCCAACGATTCTTTTATGTTTACGATGCATTTTGCTACGTCAAATTTCTTCCAGCATTCCATAACATTCATATCAGGATTACATTCCATATTATCCATTATGATTTTGAAGGTTTGTCTAATGTAATAGAGCTTAAAGGCCTGGATTATTCCTTGGTCCATAAGTTGCAGCCGCCGTGTTGAGAAGTAAAAATGTCAGTTTTATGTTTGCACGCATAGTTTCAAGTTCGGAGGATGACCAGGTGCATTGTCACAAACTAGAAGTGCTTTAAAGCCTAAATTCTATTTTTTTAAATAAGTTTCAACTTTAGAAACAAAATGATTCCGGAACCAGTCACAAAAAATCTGCGAATAGATTTATAGCCGCGAATATGGGAATTAGGTCGCATTTTTTTAGTTCGCGAATAAAGGAAGCGCGAAAGGAGCTTTTACTCTATTTGCTAATAATATAATACATACACAATCTCTCTCTTAAGTCGCCAAATTTGAAATCCCGCAGGACCCGACAAACGAATTGTGGAGAAAATTTCTCATTTAACAGATTTGAGGCGAGAATTACTACCACTTTAGCAGATGTAAGGAGAAAATTTCTCATCTAACAGATTTAAGGCGAAAAATTCTACCACTTTAACAGAAATGCTGCGAAAATTTTCCCGTTTACAGATTCGATGCTTTGCCATTTATTGAAAACAACTCTATGCTCTCCCTATTCCCAACACATGGTACTTTTTTTTAAAGTCATTAGGAAACGCTCCAGATGTGATGTTGCTCAGAATACAACTTTTGTTGTATACTCCATAAGATTACCAAATATAAGAGCAAGAGAAGACGACCCTGCACCACTCTGCTTAATACTGTGGTTTATACAACGACTTTTCAAAATAAGGTGTTATATGGGAAGCAGTTAAAAAAATGGTTCCATTCAATTAAAAGTCGTTCAACACCTTTCGTGCTTGAGGCAACACACGTTGTTACACTAAAATGTATCAAAAGTTGTGACCTGTAGGAAGAATACAACTTTACATGGCAGACATCAGAAGGACAAACGGACAAGCGAACAAGGAGTAAAACAAGCTTGGGTAGATCTATCTTCAGTTCTTCTGGGCATTGTACATATTCGCACAAAACTTAATATGGTATTGTCTTGCAAGGGGTCAGAATTTGTGGCAAGGGTTTAACGTGGGTTCCTGCCTGTAAGGCCCAAACCACTTTTTAAGCGTACTACGCCCCCTGGCGAGTTAGACAATCCCCACAGAGTAGGGGCCTAAACAGCACCAGAGTCCAGATCAGTTTATTGTGTATGGAACAATAAACAAGGGGTCAGTTGATACTTTGCTGTCAAAGCGTTCAGACGTGTTTTTGAGCAGTGTTAGCTAAGTGACTGATAAAGTGTGAAAATTGCTGCAAGCCAGCAATTATTAATAGTTATTTTGGCTATTTTGATAAACTACAAAAAAAAATTGACAATATTAATTGTTAATAAACAATTAAATCATATAAAAGTGCTTTGTTTTTAAAAAAAAGTGCAATTAAAACATATAAAAGTGCATTATAACATTCGTTTGTGTGTATGTGCACAAAAACAAGATAAAACAATTGATTAATACTGAAAGTGACGCTAAAGTGTACTACATAAGACGAAACATTTTGTTTCGATTCCATTTTTTGTGCACTAAATAAGACAAGACATATCGTTCCGTTCCACTTTGCAAAAGTTGGAACAGGTGGAATTGGAATTTTTTCCCATTGATTGGTGGCGGTCTTCGCTTGCTGGTTGCTGCAGTTACTGGTTCCTGCACTAGGTGGCGCTGGTTGCTGTTGAAAAAAAAAAAATTGTCCAGGGTGAGTGTCTTTTACATATATATTTTATTATATATATTGATAAATAAATCACTTCGCCCTATATATTGTAAGAGTGCACTGAGTGGGGTATTTTGATTATACCGCACGACTAGTGCACCATGGGAAAAGGCAAGAAGAAGCCTGCCCCTAAAAGTGTTGGGGGGATGTCCGATGAAACGACGTCCTCCGACGAAGAATTAAGGGTGGCGAAGGGTGGCCAGAAGGCTGGACCGCTGAAAGGGGGTGGTGCAAAACGCAACCACAGTCCGTCCGATGTGTCGGACTGCGACACCACCGTTGAGGGAAGTATGCGCCGTAGCGACTCCTTGCCTACGGTTTCTCGGTCGGTGAAGAGGCGTAGAGCAAAAACCGGCACTGTAGCTGCACCCGTTGCCTCTGCCCCTGTAGTGGGCGCGGCAGCTTCCGCGGCTAGCAGGCCAGTGCGTGCGGGGGGGCGGAATGCCGCTGCAGGGCCGGTGAGCCAGGTGAAGGCGATAACAAATCGCCTGCAGAAATGCGTCCTTTCGCCGGACAGCGTCTCTTTGGAGGCTGCCGCTGAGGTTTTGGGCTTTAGTGGCGAATACGAGGCGATCCTCTTCGGCCTAATAGCCGAAAATGCTCGCCTCGCAGGCCGGATTGAAGAACTCGAAAAGGCCGGCGGATGTTTCAAATCCGGCACTTGTTTGGGTGGGGCACCCCCAACGACGTCGGTCCCATCCCCCGTTGTTGAGGCTGCACGGGCTGTTGCACCGCCTAAGCCGGTGGAAACCTGGTCCGCGGTTGTCAGTAGTAGAAATACTGCTGACACACCTAAGGAGGTGGTTAGAAAGGTGGTGGAGCAGGTGGGACCGACGTTAGGCGTTCGGATTCACGATGTTAAGCCGATCCGAGGAGGTGGAGCGGTTATCCGTACTCCATCTGCTGCGGAGAGGACGAAGATCGTGGCGAACGCGAAATTCGGGGAAGTCGGGCTCAATGTCTCGGTTGAAGAGAAGCTGGGCCCGAAGGTTGTGTGTCAGTCCGTGCATAAAATGCTTGATCCGTCTGCTTTTATGGAGGGCTTGTACGAGATGAACCTTAAAGGTTTATACTCCCCCGAGGAATTCAGAAGGAGTGTCCGGATGGTCTCAAAACCATGGGTGAAGGGTATCGGTGCGACCAACGTCGTTCTTGAGGGTTGCCCTCAGG